ATGCTGCTTGCGTTGTGGGGGATGCCTGCGCGGCTACACAACCATTGCATTATTTTCTTGCTGCAGCTAAAGGATACCGCATCCGCGGTTCCTTGTTTTTCTTGCAGCTCCTGCACCCATTAATTTCACACCTTCTAACATAACTCCTTATAAATTCTATTCTCGTATATGGTGGTTTGCAAGAGTTAATGAAAAATTTGAGGTGGTTTGTGAGGCTTGGTAATTAAGTTTATTATGGTAGCAAGTTGTTTGCCATAATTTGTGAGGTGGTGGGTTTGCAATTTAGTATTACCCTAGGAATATTGCAAAAATGATAAATATGTAAACTTATCCTCTTAATTAGTCAAGGGATCCAAGCATATACCCTAAAGATAAGGAAACAGGAATAATAGTGGGATGCTTTTTTTTTATACAACTTATATTATATGGCATAAATCCAGAAGGTTTCACTAGCAATGATACCAAACCAGCCCTTTGAAGTTTTGAAAATCAAAATGAAAAGGTGCTAGGTGCTTTTTGGTATCAGAATCTAATTTGCGATATGTATTCCCCTGGCGCAACCCTCCCTTCCCCCAAAACCTCCAAAAGAACTAAAATGGAGTCCGAGTAAAAGTTAAATTTCATAGTTCCCATGCATCCTCATATTATATTAATGAAGTCCAATTCTTGTCATTACTGTTTGAGAGTGTAGAAGTCATGCTTCTATGCATCTATATGTTAATGTTGCAGGATTGAGCATTCTGATTGGGTGCCCTGTGGTGCTGAAAAAGTAAGCTATGAAGCTCCTCTTAATATGTAAGCTTGTTATTTGAGTCTTGTGCTGAAAAAGTAACATATGAAGCTTCTCTTAATATGAAATCTTGTTATTTGAGTCTTGAGTTTGATTAAAATAGTAAAGACCTGATGTATAGTTCTAAAAATCTAATGACATAATCATCTAGCACGTGTTGCTAAATTAAGTAATGATTCACTATGCTCTCTTCATTTTTGTGACTTAATCTTCTTCTCTTGTGCATAAGAAAACCTTAATTTGCTGGATTATCATGTCTATTTTTTTCCCCCTTTTCTATTGTAAATGTAAAACTTGATTCTTTCCTTTGTAAGTTTAGATGAAGTTTTTTGTTGTTTTACTGCCCCTTGTAGCAAAAACAAGTGTATTTTCAATTATCCCTTTATCTTTGTAACTTATTTTTTCTTCTCCTGTGTGATAATAAATAAAAAGAAAAAACCCTAGTTTGCGCTCATTTGAGCTGTATAATTGTGAGGTAATCTTCTTCAATGCATAGTTCTAGGTGTTGCATGCTAATGTGAGAGTAGGGATTTGTCTATGCATGCTGGATTATTCTATTTGTTTTTTTTTTTTTTCCAAATTTAATTTCTTTCCTTTATGAGTTTCAGATGAAGTTTGTCTTTTTCATTGCATAACCTGACTAAGCTTCAATTTCGGAGGATTGCATTTTTTCTGTTTTTTCTTTAATCGATCAGTTGCTACCTTCATTAGGCAGGAAAAGGGAATTTTTTGTTTATATTCTTTATCTCTATTTGTTAATGCTGCTGGCTGACTAATGTTGTTGAGTTCCCAATTTCCTTAATTTTAGGTCATGGTGGAAGTGATGGACTGCATGCTTATGTCCCATCCCTCGACGATGCTGTTGTTGATATGGTAAGCTTTAATCAGCCATAGGTAGCAATACAACTCTCTATATAACTTATTAATAATATCTGCTGATTATGCCAATGCAGAAAGCATTTCTAGATGTAATTTTGTCAGAGAATCCTGGACTTCCCTGCTTTTGCTTTGCACATTCTACAGGGGCAGCTATTGTACTTAAAGTGAGCATTCTCTCCAAGACCAATGAACTTTCTTGATTTCTCTTTATCTTGTTGACTATAGTACATATTCCTCTAAAAACTTAATGCAGTTATGTCAAAAATGCAGGCTGCTCTTGACCCTAAGGTTGAAGCTCAAATAAGTGGCATAGTTTTGACATCTCCAGCAGTTGGTGTAAATCCATCCCATCCAATATTTAATGTAAGTTTCTCCTTTGTAATTTCTTCAAACTTGATATTATTGTAGCAGAGAATTCTGCATGCCTTTTTCAATATACATAATTGTAGAGACTTAAATGATTGTCCACCAATCCACTTATTACCAAGTCCCATTTAATTACGTTGTTATCTTAAGAAGAAAATTCCTTTTGTATGCTGTGATTCAAACCTACAATCAACCTTCTGAGAAAATCTTAATCATCCATCTGATCCTTATCTTCATTTACGCTGTAACTGCAACTGAATTCCATGACTTGGTAAATCTGGAGAATTTTGTGGAAGCTTGGAACCTCCGTTGGGTTTGTAACAATAAGTCAAAATACTAGTAGAATCTTTATCTGCAAGTAGAGCAGTTCATTGAGGTAAAAATTCATAATGGTACTGATCTTTAGCCTTAATATATATATATATATATATATATATATATATATATATATATATATATATATATATATATATATATATATATATTTTAATATGTTTGTTTAGCATGCCTTCTGTGATGTTGAATAAGGGTACTATTATTAGACTCTTTGAAGAGTCACTTGGAGTTGGCTTAGTCTTTTGTTATCTAGGCAAGATTTTGGAGATAGGAGCTATATTAGACTATTACTAGATGTTCTTGAATCTGCAGGAGTATTGTGTGCCCGCCAAGTTCAGTATTATGAAACTATAATAATGTTTCATGAACAAGTCTGATTTAGTGGTGCAAAGAATTGGTGCCTTTGCTGCTCTCATGTAATCTTATGGTACTATTGTACTATTGTTATTTCAGGTCATTGCCCCAGTTGCGTCCTTATTATTTCCAAGGTATCAATGCCATGCTGCAAACAAATCAGGCACAGTAGTTTGTAGAGATCCAGAGGCACTAAAAGCAAAGTATTCAGACCCCCTTGTATACACAGGTGCAATTCGTGTAAGGACCGGCTGTGAGATTCTCCGCATATCTGCGTATTTACAAGATAACTTGACGAAATTGAGAGTTCCATTCCTTGTACTACATGGATCTGCTGATGCTGTAACTGACCCAAAAGGTTCCCAGAAATTGTATGAAGAAGCCTCATCAGTCGACAAGGCCATCAAATTGTATGATGGATTGTTGCATGACATTCTCTTCGAACCTGAACGACAAACTGTATTCCATGATATAACTGACTGGTTAATTCAACGAATAGGAGGAGATTAGATGTGAAATCGATTACAGTGTTTAGAAACCAGAACATATTGATGAGCGCAACCTTTTATTTTATTTTATTTTTTTTATGTTGTTGCTCTCTATGAGTGTGCAAGTGGGCTGTTGGGGTATGGAGGGTTCGTTCATTCTTTCTGTTTAGAAGTCGAGACTTGCATAGTTGCATGTATTTTCTTCTTAGTTGATGGTGAACTGTTGAAGATCAGTGGCAAGTATTTCTTTTCTACTTACAACACTCATGTAATCCCTGACTCGACCCGAAGTTACTGAGAGAAACCCGAGCTCGAGCTCGACCCTACCTGAACAACCTGAATTTGACCCAATTTGACCCAATTTGACCAAAAGTTCATATTTCATAATAATATTTACACTATTTTTTATAGTTTCTAAGCATTTAAGTTACTAAAAGAAACCAGAACTCGATTCGATTCAAATCCGAACAACCTGAATTCGACCCGATTTGACCCAAATTTCATATTCATAATAATATTAAGTTTTATACTATTTTTGATAGTTTTTAAGCATAACCCAAAATCAACTCGAAATCTGTACCCGAACCCGACCGACTGATCCGAACTGCCACCCTACACTAACAGGGGTGGATACACGTTGGGTTCAAACAGGTTCATTGAACCAACAATTTTTTTGAAAAAGAAGGTTATAATTAATACTTTGAGAGATGTTATGCTAGATGTTGAAGTGCAACTCAATGGTAACTTTTACCTTCCACGAATCTTGTAGATCAAGAGTTCGAATCCTACCCTTATCTTCTTTCTATCTCCTTTTCTCCCAAATTGAAACCCCAACCTTAACTTTCTCTCTCTTCAATACCCACCATCCCTTTTCTTGTACAAATTTTTACCTACAACCATGACAGGGAAAACTTCCTGCACCCCCCAAGCCTCCGCGCGTGTCCCGCCACACCCCTTTTTATTTATAAATTTCCTGAAATTTTTTATAATATGTTCGTTTCTGTATTGATAAATGTTCATTTATGTATCATTAGATGTTCATTTTATAACAGAGAGTTTTTATTCAAATTAGTATATTTTCTAAATTGAATTTTAAGAATTTTCTATAAAAATAAAGATGACAACAAATTTATTTACAAGGAATACTGTGTTCGAATCATTTTTTATTATAAGAAGTATTGCATCATCCAACGTTCATTTTTATTTATTCGTGTTTCAACATATATTCATTTTTGTATCATCAAATGTTCATTTCAAGAGTTATGTGTAAGTTTTATAATAATAAGATGTATGCAAATACATACGTCTTAGAATTCTATTTATGTAAATCAAACCTTGTTAAAAAATAATTTCCAATGTAAAATTAATTTAATTTAATTTAATTTCTATAGTTATACTACATTTTCTCAATATATATATACACATACACTACAACAAATTAAAATTGGCCAAAGAAACCTTAAGTAAGAGACCATTTAAATAAATATGTGGTCTCTTGGATGCAAGAGACCAAATATTTCAAATAAATGGTCTCTTATGTATAATCTTAGATAGATGAAAAGGGACCAAAGACCATCTATTTTAAATAAGTGGTCTCTCTTTCTTTTTAATAAAAAAAATTATAAATAGAGACCATTTATTTAGGAGAAGTGATCTCTTCTTTTTTTAATTTAATAAATAAATAAAAGAGAGAGATTATCTATTTACAAAAAGTAGTCTCTCCTTTTTTTTAATTAAATAAATAAATAAATAAGAGAGACCATTTATTTACAAAAAGTGGTATCTCCTTTTTTTTATTAAATAAAAAAAAATCATTACTTCGTATTTAAAAGTAGGCTGACATTTTTGTTATATACAAAGTATTTTAAAGAGACAAAACCCAAAACCCTAATTTCATTTCCTCTAAACCCATACCCCCACCGCCTCTCTCTCCTCTCTACTCTCTCTCTCTCTCTCTCTCTCTCTATCTTAACAGCTGAAATCACTCATCCTAACATCCGAAATCACTCATCCTATCTCACATTCTCCTGCTAAACACTTTATACCTCTTAATCCCTCCAAAGCTGTTATCAAACACCACGGTAAAGATATTCTCAAGAAATATCAGAGAAAGAATCGTTATCTTTTCTCCTTTTCTAGGCTTTTAGCTCCAATTTTTGGTGGTAAAATTGGTGAGCTCACTGGTTTGGGCTCTAAAAATCCTGTCCTTTACCTTGATTTTCCTCGGGTATTCTTGTTCTTCAGTTGAATTGGTTTTTTGATTATTTTTTGGTTCATAATTTGGTGTTCTATGGGCTGAATTAGGGATTTTGTGGTCATTTGTTGATTGTTTGCAGTTCTTAATTGTTGGTTTTCTTTGTTGTTGTTAATATGGTGTTCTATGGGGTAAAACTGGGATTTCTAGTCATTTGATGATTGTTGGCAGTTCTTATTTTGTGGAGTTTTTGTTTTTGATTTTTTTTTCTTTGTTTAGTGATCAATTATGGAGTGAACTCAATAAGTAAGTGAGGTGGATGCGAATTCTATTGGTTTGTGCTGACGACATCAATCTCTAAGCCCCTTCTATTTCACATTTCCTCTAGTTCCTAAGTTCAAATTTACTCTTTCTTTGTAAATTAACCCAATTTCAAGCTTATTAATTGTTTTAGTTTGCCGTTTGCCAATTTTTTCAGGGTTTCGGGACAAGAAAGTTAAGTTTATGGTGTCTCAACAAAGAAGTGGGTCTAACCCATCTTCCAAGCTTGGGTACTGCATTTTCATAATTCTTCAATTATGAGTGTATATTATTTTCTTTGATATTGGTTATTATTTTCTTCAATTATGGCTGATTTGGGTGTAAATTGCTGTTGTTTTGTTGTTGTTGTGGCTGGGTGGCCAATTGTATTGTTTGCGGTGTTAATTCTCTGACAACAGGGTCATCACGCGGCCGACAGACTTTGCCTCTTTCCTTTTTGGTGATGATGACTTCGGGGAAGACGGATGTGCTAGCCGCCTATCCCTCTTCAACAGAATGGATCATCTTTCTCAGACGGTCCTTGGTGCCCCGGATAGTTAAGCCACCTCTGGCGAATTTGCCTGCTATTGTATAGACCGGTTCTTCATCGGTTTCGGAACTTGGAAGTCACTTTGGACTTCACATAGGAGTTCAACGCTCCTTCGTTGGCCTGACGGTCTGTTTGAGGTTGTAATAGTCGTTTGTGTCATGGCCGACATCCTCATGGTAATGACAGTGTTTGTTTTTGTTCTGATTTTTAGCGGATGCTTTTATAGGAGTCGGCTTCTCTTGAGTCAGCCGATCCTTTATCTCCATGAGGATGAAATAGCTTTCCTTGTGGAACTCGTTTCTTGGAATGTACGAATTTCCAATCTTTCTTTTTCTTCTAGGTCGGCTAATCGAAGTTATCAACCGCCCAGATCTGTTTTTTTCTTTTTGCTCTCTTCTTTGAGTCCAACTGCTTATTAGAGGAGCAGAGCTCGGTCGCCTGTATATAAGCTTCCGCCTCCATTAGTGCTCCTTCGAGGGTTGACAGGGTAGAGTCGTATCCCCTAATAAAAAAATAATTATCTAAATCACTAAGGTAGATAGGGAAGTAGGGTCAAACTCCACAGGAAAACAGGTCTTTTTAATTCTAATTAATTAATATAATCTAAATTATCTAATTAACCAATATTTTGAATGTGAATTCTATACTACGAAAAATGAGTTTAGGGAGAAAAAAATCAATAATAAGGAAACCTAGGGTCACAGATTCACTAATAATTAATATTCCGGGATAGAAAGAAGTAATTAATAATTAACAATGCACGAATAACATGATTAACAGGCTCTCGCAATTTATTAACCAACATAGATCTAACAGGCTCTCGTAATTTATTAGACCTAAGTTCCTATTAAAAATAGTCTTTAATATTAAATCAACATCTGCTCGATTCATCAATTCAATATTGCTAAACATTCACAATCAAATTACATCTGCTCGATTCATAATCTAATTGCAAAGAATTCAAGCAATTTAATAGGAAATTATCATGCAATATCAACAATTAATAATAACAAACTATCCCTTCATATTAATTATGGATCCCCATAAACCCTAGAATTAAACTACTCACTAATCATCATAATTAAACCAAACAAATAAATAAATAAGAACATGATCAAAAAAGCAATTAAAATAGCTGAAATTAAAAAGGTAAGAAATTGTACCAAACTAAATCTGGAATTAATGAAGGAATTAAAAACAAGAGTTAGAGAGAATTTAAGAGAGAGAAAGATACTAAGTAGTGAGAGAAAGTCTAAGAGAAAGAAAGTAAGTAAATAATCCGTACAAAACGTATATATACTTCCCCTAAAACAAGAATTAACTAAACTAAATCAGTCACTAGGAAAAACACGTGCCCGATCGGGCGAAGGGGCGCCCGATCGGGCCCGCCTTTTTTTCTATGACCAGTCTAAAGTGCCGCGCCCGATCGAGCCTACGCTCACCCGATCGGGCGCGCTTTTTCTTGATAACCTTCATGCGCGCAGCCGCCTGATCGGGCGTATGCTTGCCCGATTGGGCCCGGTATTCATCTTCAACGCTTGGACTTCGATTGGGCTAGATTTCTCGGCCCAATCCATATTTCCTCTCGGGTCTCGAATACATGGTCCAATTGCCTCGTGATCCAAATAACCGAGCTCTTAATCACCGGCTCGATGGCTCTAGCCGGCCTTGGGCTCCAAAAGTGGTCGTGTTGCTCCAATGCTCGTAGTCGCTTCATAAAAATCCCGGGAAAATGTTCCAAAGGTGCAATTCCCTGCAAAACTTAACCAAAACTACGAAAATACTAGAAAACACATATTAGTAATAAAAGTGGCCCTAAAGGACCAAAAACACTACTAATTATGACCAAGGGACGGGGGTAAAACACTATATAAAATAGACATATCAAACCCCCCCAAGCCAAATCTTTGCTTGTCCCTAGGCAAATAGCTCATTAATGAACATATAAAACATACTTCACCCCAATAAACAAATCAAAAGCCAACGATTCAAGGTAAAATTAAACAAACATGATTCAACATCAATTAATCTTATTTATCTAATCACCCTTCCTCCCCAACAATTGTCAAGTAGAGCAAACTAAAAGAACATATAGAATTCAAGATTAGTGCTCACACACTCGACTCTCATTTATGTGGTGAGTAAAGAATGTACTCGATCGCTCTCCACCCAACCCCTTTAATGTGAACAATGCCCTCCCAACTCACACTCTTGTGTGTATAAAAACATTGAACGCTCATCCTACTAGTCGACTCGAAATATGTCAAGTCATAACTTGCATTGAAAAACAACACTTTCACATTTACATAACTTCTATGCACAAGGTAGGAAGGTCTTTTAAGCTTGTAATATAGGGCTAGGGTAAAGGTAGGATAAGTTTGGGATTATGTGAGAGAAAAGCTATGCATTAAGGGAGCCAAATCCTAATAAATCCATGATAAAAAAATAATGATCATACACATCTCCAACATAACCAACTCCAAACAACAAAACACCAAATATACTCCAAACAATATAACAATCCCAACACTCACAATTTCACTCATAAAAATATGATAATGTAGAACAAGAGTGAATAACAAACTTTGAGCTCATAACTTGAAATATTTACAGTGAAACTTAACTTTTTTTTTCTTTCTTTTAATTAACCTTCACTTAGAACATTTGAACATCAAGCATTTTTTTTCCTCTTTTTTCTTAGAAGTTCACTTTTTTTTTCACATTTCTCACTTTTACTTTTTTCAAATATATACAACTTTTAAACTCATAAAAACAAAAATATGATCAAGAACAAATTACTTCTCAAAACCCACCCAAATTGTGCAAATAATGTGCACACTACAAACTCCCTCACCTCACTTACTAATAGCTCCCCCAAGCTAAGCTTAGGACTAGTAACCAATAGGGCAATTAAGGCTTGTAATGTGGCTATAAACAATAAAAGGGCACAAGCAACAACATGGGTGACAAGAAGGAAACAAATGTATCTAAATACTCTGAAGGCTACCTAAACAATGAATGCCTTCGTCCTCATGTGCATAATAAAAATTCATGAAACACTATTCATAGTTGCAAATCAATACTCAAATTCATTGATATACCAGGAATTATGGAATTATCACACATTTCCTAACCAAATCAACTAGTCAAACACTATATTCACAAGTAGTTGGACAAAATTGACGCATGTTTAGGAATCCAAACAATTAGACTTCAAATCATGACCAACAAATCCACAATATTCATCATCAAATACCAAGAATCAAAAGAATTTTCTCAAGTATGGGGCACAGGGTAGTATGATTTACAATTCATTGAAACGTATTTTTGAATTTTTTTATTTTTATCAATTTTTTTTTTTGTATTTTTCAAATATAAGAAAGCAATAAAAAACTACACTAGAAAAGCAAATAAAAACTATACTAGAAAGCAAATAAAGAGAGAAAAGGAAGAGAATTTCCAAGTGAAAGAACACCCCTCCAAGCCAAATCAAGCAATGCCCTCATTAACTTGGGAGAGTAGCCTACTCTTCATCCTCATCCTCATCCATCCTAGAGTACCCCCCACCTTGGCTAGAGCCGACACCTCCATGGCTAGAGCCACCACCACCATACCCCGAACCACCCATATAATAGTTAAGGTTTACATTCCCACCCATACCCCTATATCCGTGGACCGAAGAGTAGTCCACATAAGTACCATAAGCACCGGGGTGAGAATACCCTCCTTGGGGGTATTGGAACCAATTGGGAGTAAGGGAATCGGGAGGAATAGCCCCCCGACGGGCATAATCATCATACATGGGGTAAAGGCCCCTCCCTATGTTCCTCTCAATAAGACCAACCCTCCCATCTAGGGTGCTTAACCTAGAGTCTAGGTTTTGCATCATACCCTCATCCCTTCCTTGCCCCGTCTCAATACGGTTTAGTTGGCTCCTAAAAGCCGAAATGTCATATGGGGCATTTGGGTCGACATTGTAATCGACCGAGGAAGTTGGCATGCCGTAGGTGAAAGGTGGGGGTGGTTGGTAGTGGGGTGAGTGGTGAATGGGGGATTGGTGAGTGGGGGATTGGTGAGGTTGTGGTGAGGGGTGAGGAGGTTGAACCTCACCTTGACCATCTAACTCGAAAGTGTAAGAGGGCTTCCCCCTCTCAAATTTGGTCAAGGCGGGGTTGGGTAAGGTAAAGTCTTGGTCCCTCCTACCCGATTGTCGGTGGACAATCCACCAAGTATCACTCCCCACCGGTTGTACCCAATTCAAGCTCCCTAAATAGGGTAGGTCCATTAGGTTCGATCCCACGACTTTCCTATGGCCATCGGGGTTCCAACCTAAGTGTTTCCTAGCTATATGGGTCACTAACCCCCAAAGTAAATAGGCGCTCTAGACCTACTAGCCTCGGCCGCGTTGGCCGCCCTTTGGAAATGATTGGCTATCCTATGCGGTAAGTTTAATTTTTCAGCATTAGGAATTATATAGGAAGCCAATAATTCCAATTCATCCCTCCGAACATTTGCCGGTTCATGCCTCCCAAAAATGGTGAGGCCGACAAATCTTTGCCAAAGTTTGGGGACGGGATGTTGAATCCACGTCCCTTTGGCATGTTGGAGGTTCACCAAATCCTCCCATGTTAACCTCTTATAGACCACGGCGGTGTGGTGTTGAGAGGGTTCAATAGGATTGTCCGATTTCAAGTCAAACAACTTACCAAATTCTTTTAAAGTTAGTCTCACATTGTTGTTTAACAATCGAAAATGAACATGAGTGATAAGTGCATTCATTTTGATAACATTAAAACTTGATATAAATTCCAATGTTAAATAATGATAAGTATCATGGCACATTTGAAACAAACCACCCATGCCTATGCCCTTAAACAATTTTTCTACGTATTTATCAAGACCTAGCCTAGCTAAAGTAGAATGATGAATGAAACGGGTAGAAATTATCTGACGATCGATGAGGTTGATCATCCGAACCCGTTGCTCCTCCGAGGTGATTACAACCTCCTCCAATCCCGTAATTTGAAGGTCCGGGTTGATTGTTGGTTGTGGTGCACTAGAGCTCTCACCCCTTTGATTTCTTGAACGCTTGGAGGCCATTATCTTTGAAAATAATAGAAAATTTGAGGTTTTTCTCTCTTAGGGTTTGGGAAAAGTTGAGAGAAAATTGGGGAAAATTAGTATAGAGTGTAGAGGAAGGTGAGGGGAGATGGCATATGTAAAAATTTTTGATTTTGGATGGAAGAATTGGAGAAGATCTTGATTGAAGTGTAAGTTTAAGGTTTGAAAATGGAGGTTTTAGAGAGAGAAAGTGAATGAAGAAGATGAAATAAGGAGGAAATGAGGAAAGAAAGAAGAGAAAAGAAAAT